TGTATTTTAGAAAGGAAAGCCAGGTAACAGACCTGTATGCAGTCCTGCGATGTTAGCCGAGGCTAGGATATACCAAAATCTCATTAGGAGAAGGTGCAGACCGAGGTTACCCTGATGGTCTCAGACCAAGGGCCTTCAGAGAAAAGTTTTCCAGGTCCTAGGTGGCCTCCTACGGTCAAAGCATCAAGTGAGTAAAGGATCTTGCCTAAAGGGGACAGACTGAGGGCTAAATGGGTTTAAGTCTTTGTCCCCCAAATGTAAAAGGATTAGGATAGTTGGCTGCATTTGGTTTTAATAAGCATGCTGGATGGGTGGAGATGAGGCAGGGAGCTGGCAGCTGGGCTCCTCTGGTAGCACAGAGAAGAGTCAAAACTAGAGGTAAAGGGTGTGGTCCAAGATGAAGCCCCGAGCCACTTCCCCAGGGTGGTGTGAAGATACTGGGGTCATGCCCTCCAGCTAGCTGCCGCTGCTATCTCCACCCAAGCCTGCTAACTGGAGGGCTGTTTCCCTCCAGATAGACTACGATGACCCCGTACAGCAGCAAGTGGCCAAGGGGAGCTCCCAGCTCCCTTTTTCTGCACAGGTGACAGTGTGGCATCCCCCTGACGGCTCTTCCTTCCTCCTCTGGACCAAGCAATGAAAGGACAGGACAATAAGAAATTCCTCCTTGCATTAGCTGGTAAGAGTGCCTCCCTCATCAGACACACCCACAACACAAAGAATCTGTCTCAGCCCTGCGAGCTGGGTCCTAGCCCCCGGCCATCAACCCTCTGTCACCTATTCTTAAGACATCCACTGAGAACTCACCCAGACAACACATTTTAGCATCCCCCCCCACCCACTTTGGGACTTTCCCATTTGAAGAAATAATAAGCTCGCTCTCCAGTTTTCTTTAACAAACTAAGCATGTGACAGACAAGGTCTCAGATGTTTTCTTTGCCTATTTCCTCCTAAAATTGAAGTCTGTGGTTAAGTAAGCTCTTCGAGACCGTTTCTGCTTCAGACCATGGGCTCACACAGCTCTCTGTATAACACCCTACATTTTGTTGTTTTTTTCCTGCGGAGCGTAAGAAATTAGAATACAATTGTACATAAATGAGGTGTAAGAAATCTTCCCGGGGTCCTGCACCTGCACCTGCACCCAGGGTCAAGGACTTCTGAACCTGCTGTCACCAAACACATGCCTGAAACCAAAACCGTGACATGTTAGGTGGTAAATTTGGTGCTGTGCGCTCGGCGACAGCCTCTGTTCCCGTACAGGACATAATTACACAGTCTGCTCATCTTGGCCACAATATTCTAATTATCCTGTATGTCACCATTCCCTCCGTGGCCCCCTGTAGCCATGGAAGCAGCCCGGACCCGAAGGTGTGACGTGCCCAACTTGGGGGGAGGGCAGAGGGCAGGGGTAGGCTGAGCCGGGCTGGAACTACAAGTTGATATATCCTAGCTAACCAGCCTGGGCGGACACCCTGCAGGGCTGTTTAAAAAGTAACAGCTAATGGACATGCACGTGTGGAATGTAAAGGAGACACCCAGTAATTGACCTGAGTAATTATGGTTGCTGATTCCATAAAATGAGTTAATACAAATTATTAACATTCTGAGTACTCAGTTGATGATCTACCCGTATGTGTTCAGAATGATACACTCAGGATGTATCTGTGGTTTCTCGTTGTGATCTAAGAGAACCCAGATGCCTTGTCAGTTGGGATCTTCAGACCTCACTGAGGGAATGCTCTGTAGGTCTTTGACTAAGACAGGACTTAGTCAGACAAAGACAAAGACAGACAAAGACTTAGACTAAAGACAGGAGTCTGAGTATTTTCAGAAAAAGCCTGACATGATGTAGTAGGTTGAATTCAGCTTCTGAAAGGGAAATGAACTGATAAGATATGCATCTTAGAAAGAGCAAAGACTGCAGGTTACAGAATGGGGCAGAGGAAGAAAAGAACACACGTGGGAAGATAAATTAGGAAGCCACAGCCAGATTTCAGATTTGAACTAAGGTAGCGGCTGTAGGGGGAGAAGTGGACTGATGACAGAGTGGTCTAGAGAGGAGAATCTACTGTATTCCTGATGGATGAAGGCACGGAAGGAATCCCAGATGATCTTGCAATTTCTATTATGGAGCAATTAGGTAAATACTGACTTCACTTACTAAGAGGAGGCACAAGCTTGGGGAGTAATATAATCAGTTTAGAATTAACTTTAAATTGGATCTTTACGTCGTCACCGAGTTTATTCATCAGGGAACAAAGAGACATTTCTTTCTTAGCTATTTTTGTCATGCATTTTAAAACTGCCCCATGATTTAACTACCATGCATCACCAAGAGTAAATGCATATATAAAAAATAAAGTCTTTTGTTCTCATACAAATATATAAGATGACTGAGTCTACAGTTAAGCAACACCCTAGAGTCATGGGCTCGAAGATTTACAGTCAGGGGTCAGTGAAACTGGTAAACATCAGATTCGGAGAAATGAGTGATTTATAGTTCTCCATTTTTTTAAGATTTATTTATTTTAGAGAGCATGTGAGAGAGAGCATGAGCAGTAGCAGGGACAGAGGGAGAGGAAGAAGGAAGATCCTTAAGCGGGTTCCATGCTAAGCCGGAGCTGGATGTGGGGCTTGATCATGATCTACTGAGATCATGACCTGAGCCAAAATCAACAGTTGGACACTTAACCGACTGAGCCACCCAGGTGCCCCTTTATTCTCCATTTTTATTTGTTTGAATATATTTCAGAGATCCAACTATAAAATATTAAGAAAGGGCACCTGGGTGGCTCAGTGGGCTAAGCCTCTGCCTTCGGCTCAGGTCATGATCTCGGGGTCCTGGAATCAAGTCCCACATCGGGCTCTCTGCTCAGCTGAGAGCCTGCTTCCCCCTCTCTCTCTGCTTGCCTCTCTGCCTACTTGTGATTTTTCTCTCTGTGTGTCAAATAAATAAAATCTTTTAAAAAAAAATCTTTAATAAAAAAAGAAAAAGAATGTCCTAAAGGAGAGAGGAGCGTAAAAAGACATCAGTGGTGACAATGGCTTTGTAAATGGTAACTTGGAAAAATATCTAAAAGTCTGCTCTTTTATTGGTAGAATGGAATAGTGATACACAACTGATATAAAACAAATAATTTGGAACAATCATTGTAATTCTAAAGCAAAAATATTCATTTGTAAAGAGTCTGACCAGAAGCCCTTTTCCCAGTGCTATTTTCAGTCATCTTCATATTTTCAGTAAAATTTTTATTTATTTATTTATTTAAGATTTTATTTATTTATTTGACAGACAGAGATCGCAAGTAGGCAGAGAGGCAGGCCGGGGTGGGGGGGGGGGGGCATGGGGAAGCAGGTCCCTGCTGAGCAGAGAGCCCGATGCAGGACTCGGTCCCAGGACCCTGAGATCACGACCTGAGCCGAAGGCAGAGGCTTTAACCTACTGAGCCACCCAGGAGCCCCCAGATTTTTATTTTTTTTAGAAGATTTTATTTATTTATTTGAGAAAGAGAGAGAGAGAACACAAGAGAGGGGAGGGAGAGGGAGAAGCGGCTCCCCACTGAGCAAGGAGCCCAACAGGGTGCTGGATCCAGGATCATGACTTGAGCTGAAGGCAGACACTTAACCGACTGAGCCACCCAGGCATCCCTTTAGTGACATTTTTAAAAACCCTTTTCGGTAATAGAAGTGATACCCTCACATAAGGCCATAACTGCATTTCCAACAATGAATTATAATCATCAGCTTCCGTTTTTTCCTCACTAACTGTGACTTGAACACAGAGACCATGTCTTGCTCGACCAAGCACTGTGCCTGGCCCCGCTCTTCCTTCCTCCTCTGGACCAAGCAATGAAACTCTGAAATGAAACTCTGGCCCTCAGCCAGAGTTTATCCAGCGAGGGAAGAAAGGAAAATTAGCATGCATCAAAAATATGAAGCAATGTCTGCCTTTCTGGATAAAGAAACCTCATGTTCAGCAATTTAGCAGTTAATATCTCTGAAAATATCGGAACTTTTTCTTTATTAATGTAGCATGACCAAGTTTCGGATAGCTTTGAAAATAAAGAAAATTACTGCATCCACAATCCCACCATGCAGATACAGGAAGCATTTTGAATACAAGTTAACATTTTGATTCAGGGAAGAGTAGTATAAGCACTGTTAGAATTAATTTATAATGTATTTAAAAGCATGCATTTTCTGAAATACCCAGATTTTTTTTTAATTGACAGTGTTGTAGATAGCCCCCTCCATTATGACAACTCGAAGGAAAAGACATTTTAAAGATAACTTTTTTTTTTTTTTTTTTGACAGAGAGAGGCAGAGAGGCATGTAGAGAGAGAGGGAGAGAGAGGGGGAAGCAGGCTCCCTGCTGAGCAGAGAGCCCGATTCGGGTCTCGATCCCAGGACCCTGAGATCATGACCTGCGCTGAAGGCAGAGGCTTAACCCACTGAGCCACCCAGGCGCCCCTTAAAGATAACTTTTTAAAATTCTCCTAGGATATTAAATTATTCTACCTTTTTTTGTACTTTCCTCGTCCCCCACCGAAATTTATGAACTGTGGCTCTGCGACGAGGAGCCCGAGACTCAGGAGGCCTGATCCTTAGTCCCAGCTCAGTGGCTAGCCTCGCTGGGATCCAGGCAGTTGCTAGACCTCCTGGAACCTCTCTTCGCCTAAGACCCTGTCATTTCCCCACTTGCCAAGTCTGTTCTGGCAAGGACAGGGCCACACTGGTGCACAGAGCTGTGCCAGCAAATGGGATCCTTGTCAGGTTCACATTTTATTCAGTAAAGCCTATGTTTATGTTACTGAAGCATGGATATATGTATACTAATTTCTAGAATAAACTGAGCATTTACTAAGTGCCAACCACTCTGCTTAGCACTCTGCATATTCAGAATCTGCCCCACAGGATTTGGGCCAGAGAAGTTAAGTAAGGTAACCTTCCCAAAACCACACAGCTTGCAAATTTCAGACTTGAACTCACCTTTCCTGCCTGCAAAGGCCATGTTCTGAACCACTAAGCTATAGTGCTTATAGAGCAGAAGAGAGAAACTGCATAAAACACACGAATTCTAAGAAAGTCTATAGAAAATTTTAAAACGTCCCGACATAATGGGCTCTTCTATAAAGTCACCTCTCATTCCATCCATCCCAGTGAAACCACTAATTTGGCTCTTCTCAACCTCTAACTTCCCAAACTCTTTAACTCCAGCCTCACTCCTCAACAACACAGAAGTGTGCGTGTACGGACTCAGTGCAGAACTGAATTCAGGCACTAAATTAAACTCACGACAGGTTTTAATCCAGTCTCAAGATTCTTAGTTTACTATCGGAGAAGACTTCGTACCTCAATAGAAACAAATTATTCATGTGTGTTTGAAAGGGCTAAAAGCAAGTGCTTTGAAAGGAAATTATCAAGAATGTGCAGACTGTTTGAAGTAATACAAAGGAAACACACACTGTTTTGTGATTTGCCAAAGATGATGCTTTTTTAAGGTAGCCACTCATAGATTTGAACATAAACACACAGCAGTTTGCTGAAATGAGTATATTCTAAGTACATTTTTCGTAGGTTGATTTCTGGCCTGCTTGAAGCACTCCGTTCCAAGGAGATAAGAAAAATAACAATGTTCCTGGAGATAGAAAATGCGAATTAAGTGATATCAGCTCATATAAAGATCAGCCTAAACTACTCTGTGGCTGGAACTACTAAAAGAGTTGTTACTATTAAAGGAACATCATTTTTATCCCGATACTCGTAGTATTTTTTAATGTCTAAAATATTTGTCTTTTATGGGTTTGCTTTTAAATAATCATAGTTTAAAATACATTATAAATTTGTAAGGGCATATTAACATACATTAATGGGCAACAAAAGGCAAAACCGTAGGCCTGGCTAAATGCAATTTTTGCCTACTCTGCTATGGGCATCCCATGGGGTTAAAACAGATCAGAGGAAACCAGTCCATGCTGAACACTCCCATTCCGAACAGGGGCTCCCAGCCTGCAGTGGGCCCCCATGGTGCTCTGTTGTTACAGCCCCCTTCATCTCGCAGATGATGATTTCATACCTTTTCTCGATCATCAAACCTCTAGTTACCTCTAGGAACACCTGCCTCAGGTTCACTTTCAGCTGGTGACCTTGACTTTGCGCCTATTTCACTGGGAACATAGCAGTCGGGAAGAACTCTGCAAGCTCACACCTACTCATACAGCAGCCTCAGGCCCCGGTACCCAGCCTTTTCCCGGGTGTGTGCTCCTAGCCAAGGCCAATCCCTCCTCTTGGGCACTAGATCCTTACCCTTTCACCAGCATTGCTCCTGCATCACCTGCTTTTCCCAATTACTTACTTTCCCAATTACTTACGTATTCCTTTAAGCCTACAAACATACTGTTCTTGTTCCCATCTTAAAAGAAAATAAAATTCTCTTAACTTCCCTTCCCCCTTGTGGAGGAAGAAAAAGTGTCCTCTGCCCTCAAGATTATTCTGGGTGATGTGAGAATTAAATTAACATGAAACAGATTAACAGGGCAAAAAAAAAAAAAAAAATTCATATGCACAGAGGTCTCGTAGATATGGGACCTAAGAAGTACCAAGGTGGGCAGCTGTTATACTGTCTAGACAAAGGAACATAAGTTTAGGAGGAACTGACAGGACAAAGAAAACTTATGTTTGGGACCATCAATTAGCAAGGAATCTAAACAGAATTTGGGCTGGGGTGGTAAATTAGCAAAAGTAACAAGATTTGTTTATGTAGGCTTCTTCGGCCATGAATTCCCTGCCTCTGATGATAAGGTTGTCTCTCTTCCTCCCGGTGTCGGGAGGGTACCTTTCACATGGGAGATTTATAACCTCCTTTCTAGAGACCTTGGACGGTCAGGCTGTTTTTGTTATACAGGCTGTTTCTTACATAACGTTAATTAAAAATAATCATTATACCATTGTGGCGTATTTTGGGGCATCCTGCCCTGGACTCCCACACTTTCTAGCTAACTTCTCATTTCCTACTTCCCTTTATTTACAGTGAAACCCCTTCTCTAATTCCCCTCTCAGTCTTTCTTAAGTGCTCAAAGCAGCCTTTGTCCCTACCACTCAGCCAAGGTCACCAGTGTTCTGCACAACCAATCGTTGAATATCTTACTTGACTTATCAACTATCTCAGACACAGACAATGTGTCTTGAGTCCTCCCTTGAAACACTCTTCCCCCTCGGCTTCCAGAACCTCCCACTTTCCTCCTTTTCTTCCTGCTTCACTGACTCCTCCTTCTCAGACTCCGGTATGAGTTCTTCCTATACTGTAGGTTTCAGTTTTCAAACCTCTTTTCCTCCCTAGCTTCCCCTTCTCCACCGGTAACCATATCCAAGCCAAACGGATACCTCCAGCCTGGCCCACTCCCTCCAACTCCAGACCTGTATATCGAAATCCCCATTCAACATCTCAGTTTAGATGTATATAAGGAATTTCAAATGTAACAAGCCCCAAATCAAACTCTTGTCTTCCACCCCCCAAACTTGTTTCTCCTAAATTTTCTCCATCTGAGTAAATGGCAACTTCATCCTTCCTGTTGTTCAGGCCCAAAACTACAGAGCTAGACTTGCCTTCCCTCCTTTTTCTCATACCCCATCTTCTCTCCACAAAGAAATTCTACCATCTTTCCTTTCGAAATGGACCCGGAAAGCTGACCGCTTCTCATTTCTCAGCTATGTCACTCTGGTTCAAGCCTCAACCCTTGTATTATTCAATAACCTCTGAAATAGTCTCTTGGCTTTCACTCCTGCTCCACACAGTCTATAGTAAGATGGTGGGAATTATCTGCCCAAACCCCTCACAATGACTCCCAGAGTAAAAGCCCAAGTCTTTTCAATGGTCCCCGACCTACGTCTCTTTCTTCTCTGACTCCATCTCCTGTGTCTGTCTCTCTTGTTCACTCTAAGCTAGTCATACTCACCTCTTCATTGTTCTCTCTGTTCAGAGCTTCCTTCCCCCAGACTCCTATATGGTGCTTCCACCACCTCCCTCTGGACTTTGCTCAAATGTCAAAGGGACTTTTATCCCTTCTAGGTTCTCAGCTGGGTCTCTGTAACAAAAGACAGACTGACTAGAGAAAAGCATACATATTAGCCGGAAGAGGGATGCCTGGGTGGCTTAGTCGGTTAAGCATCTGACTCTTAATTTCAGCTCAGGTCATGATCTCAGGCTCGTGAGATCAAGCCCCACACTGGGCTTGCTCTGTGGGGGAGTTGCTTCTCTCTCCCTCTCTCCCCTGTGCCCCGTTTTCTTGCTCTCTCTCTCTCTCAAATAAATAAATAAATCTTAGGAAGGAAGGAAACAGAAATGAAGACATAAAGCAAGGTTAAGCCTGAGTGTTTTTCACTCTGGGTTTGATGAAGACCGGTAAGACAGATGGTACCAGCTAAGGGTTATAAACCAGGGGAACTTAACAAAGCCTGTTTGTTTGGATTCCTGAGTCCTGGTGTCTTTGGAGATAAGGATGCCACTTTCTTCAGGGTTAGAGGAGGGCCTTGTGACCTGCCTCAGGGGAGGCCCCAGGGTCATTCTAGCACCTGCCATTTCAGAAGTCCCTTTGGCTTAAAATATTGGGCATGCTGTGGTGCCATATTCTGGGGTAGTGGGTCAAAAACCCTGTCACTACCCCATTTAAAATTCCAACCCACAGCCCCTGCACCCTCCCCATCCAACAATCATGTTCCTCTTCTACCTAACATTTTATTTTACTTATTTATTTATTTATTAATTTTTCAGTTGTCTGATTTCCCCAACCAAATGTCAACTCTCTAGGGCTAAAGCTTTTTTTTTTTTTTTAATATGTTATTTACGCCTATATCTCTAGCACCTAGAACTGCGTCTACCACAATTATTTACTGAATGAATGAAAGAACTAGTGAATGGGCCACAGAGAGTGATCTGGACATATTTTATCATACATTACTATACACCTGGCACTCTGGGTCTATCTTCTCATTTAACCCTTGCATCTAGGTAGTGATTGTTACTGTCATTATTTTGCCGACAAGAAAAATCAAGCCACAACACTGGTGACTATTGACATCATGCAGCCATTAACGACAAAATTTGTTACCAAACCCAAGTCTGTGTGGCCCCCAAGCTCCTGTATTCGCAGCTTCATAGATCCGGCTTCAATTCACACCATCAACAGATAAGCAGTCACCGTATCTCAAATCCATATCAAGGTTTAAGCAAAGGTAAGCAAGGTTTAAGGTGAGGGCCTGGGTCAGTTCTGAGGGCCACGCCCTAGGCATGAGCTTCACCTAACCCCTTTGTACGGCCTGTTGGGAGCTGTGTGTTTTCTGCACCGTTTCAAACATCTGGATATTCGGACCAACCTGGATGATCCGTTTACCCAAGACTTTTCTGCAGGTTAACATCTGTTCTAAGAGGCGTTCATATTCTTCTTTCCAGACATCTGCCTGCAATAAAAACGGAAGTTGACTCCGAGAGCTACAGGTGATCGTTATAGAATGTTTCCGATAGAACAGACGAGAAGCCCATGACCGCATCACCTCTGGAAGGACAAATGAGGGATTGGGAACAAATAAAGAGAAAGGACCTGTCACTCATACGACCTATACCTTTTGAAGTTCTGTGCCATAAGGATTAAGGACCTTCTGAAAATAAGCAAAATAACAATGGCAGCGCGCCCTGTCTGTCCTCCCACCCAGAGTGCAGTGAAGAGGACACACCCGACGGTCCTACCCCACAGTCCCACCCCACAGTCCTAAGTGTACCCAGGCCCTGAGCACTCGGTCAAGGCGAAGTCATTCGGGTTTGCTCTGGGCCTCAGCTCCACCATCTGCAATGGGAAAGATAATGATTAGAGCTTGCCTGACTTGATAAGCGGGGTCTATTGTGAGATTCTAAGTGTAAAATCTTCTACAAACATCCGTATTCCTTATCATTTAGGGGACATTAGGTGGCAAAGAAAGCAAGCCAGCTCACAGAGCTACGGAACACAAAATGCAACCCGAAGAGGAGCAGAGTATACTGTCTCCACATACTGCAGTAAGTTCCTAGAAGTAAGAAAATCAGTGGAAAATCTGTTTGGTCTCAGACAACTTTTATTTATTTATTTATTTATTTATTTATTTATTTATTAAAGATTTTATTTATTTGACAGACAGAGATCACAAGTAGGCAGAGAGGCAAGCAGAGAGAGAGATAGAGAGAGAGAGAGAGAGGAGGAAGCAGGCTCCCTGCCGAGCAGAGAGCCCGATGTGGGACTCGATCCCAGGACCCTGAGATCATGACCTGAGCTGAAGGCAGAGGCTTAACCCACTGAGCCACCCAGGTGCCCCATCAGACAATTTTATTTTAAATGCAAAGAGGATAAGCAAGATTATCATCTGCATCATTCCAGATCCTCTGTTCTTTGGTCTTAGAATTACACCAATTCTGATCATCTTCCCTAAGACCTCACAAGGCCTTTCATCCTCACGATGAGCAGATGAGCTGGAACCTGGAGAACTGGAGAGATTTGAAACTTCATTTCTAGAATCAAATAATGGCCAATTTTCAGTTATGTAATACACGGCTCTGAATTTCAAAATGCTGAAGTCACCCTTTAGGTTCTAGATGCAGCCTTGCCTTGAGACACGTAAGGAGTGTATGAAAAACCATTATAGGCCGGTTTACCCAAATAGCACAGTATTAAAAAACAAACACATAAACAAAAACTAAGTGCAGAGGGCGTGAATTTCTGAACTGTTTTGGAGCCTATTACTTGGTGAGGAAACACTCAGTCCTAAAGTGTTTAAAATACCATAGACGGTTCACAATTTGAGGAAAAACTTTTTTTAGAGCTTCATTTCTTCATTTTTCTTTTCTTCTGATTCTTTCCCTCCTTCACTTTCATCTTGGTATTTGTAGGACGTGGGTATTTCTTGGCCTCCAAATCGGGTCCTTTCAGACCCCAGAAAACAAAGCCAGGAGATTATCTTAACCCAGGGGAAGACCCCGCCCCCTCCTCGACCCCCTCCCCTCCCTGCTCCAGTTCCCTGGGGATTTCCCCAAACCCTGTGGAAGAGCAGGGGGGGCGGGGGGGATCAGCAAGCAGGTCCTTGTGGGTCTGCCAGGTTCTGAGCTCACCGGGGCCTATCGTCCTCTGTGGCCGTGGCCTGGGCTGCTCCTCTACACACATGGCCATGGAAGGTCAAGGGAAAGGATTTGAAAGCGCCCATGTAAACTAATGCAGCACACAAAAGTGCAGGATTATTACTATGAAAAATTAATTAGAAAAGGGGGCAATCTTCTCATCATTTCTTCATTTCCCTTTTCTCACTTCCTCTTTCTCTGCCCTCCCCGCCCATCTTTCTCTCCTTCCCCACTCTGCTTTCTCAACGGGGAACACATACAAGGTAGGAAGAGCCCAGAGTCTTGAATTGTTAAAACAGAACAAAGTTTAAGAGTCCATATAAACTACACCCAAATTACTGAGAAATGTGAAATGAAAACCAGCTCAGCCCTAGATTCCAGGAAAATGCTACATTTTGGGTTTACTTGATACTTTGTGTTTTCACATGGGTCATGTCTTCAAGCTTTGGTCATTAGTCTTCCACTTCCTAATGCAAAGAAGTAAATGCTGACTCGTGTCATTTGCCTCAGATACCACCGGAAAAGGCATCTTCTCCCCAGCCGCCGGCTCGCGAAACTAGCAGCACGCAGAGGTGAACTTATCTGCCTAGCAGCCGGGGCTCTGGGCTCTCCAAAACCTGGCCCTCGGATCGACAGCGGACAAAGGAATCTGTCCAGGGAAGAGATCTAGAGTCAACTGAGAGGTACACTTTTATCACCAGTTACTTTAATGAGTAAGTACTTTGCAGTTTTCCCATTTGATTTGAAGCATTAATTTCACATTTCTGAGCAGCCTTTCTTAGGCTCCTCCCTTCTTGGGCACTTACTCTAGAGCGGAATCACCAACCCAACCCCTTCACCCTACCCCCACTTAACTGGACAGCCGGAAGGAGACAACTGTCATTTTGTAAGGAGAAGGATTCATGATTGATAAACTACTCTATCTCTGAAAACGTACAGTAAAGAGAGACAAGACAGTTGTGAACAGGAGAAAGGACGAGAAGCATCTGTTGTCTGCGCAATCTTGTAGGTTGTGGTTGACCACAGAGGCTTGGCGTCAGTCTTGACTCCCAGCTCTGCTTTTTATAAAATAGATGACCTTGGGCGGATGACTCAATCTTCCAAACAATTTTTCGGATGTGTAAAAAGGAGAAAAAGAAAATACCGATGTCACAGGGTTCTTAGGAGGAGTGAAGAGATAGCTGAAACATGGAGCACACGGGGTGATGTGAATACTAAACATTACAGAATAACAGGTGAAATTAGCATTTCTAAATAATAAACTAAGGCCTCCATTCAACTGGAAAGCTCTCTTAACTAGTGAAACCCATCCTTCAAACGTGCTGAAGTGGCTCAGAATAACAATGATTAACATTTGTAAAGTTTACAGAGCATCTCATCTGATTTCCACGATGAACCCTAAGGTAGGCAGTTCCAGGCTGTTGACCTGATTTTGTTAGAAGGAATAGGGGGAGAAGTTGAGAGCCCGGCTGAATGTGACAGTAGGAAAAGCAGCTCAGGGGTCCAAACTTCCTGCTGAAGGGAAGAAAACATGACTGGGCAAAAGCCAGTGTCAGACTGAGTGCAGACGTTCCTTTCTCCAACTGAACTTCTCACCCCTTGGAGAAGTTGCCCCTCTTCTGGTTCCAAGCCATAGCGTTCGGAAGGGGCAAAATCCTCAGTCCTGCTGCCAGTACCCAGAGCAGTGGTAACGCAGGCCTTCCAGAACTTTCTACAACAAAGTATGGCCAGGGAGAAGGCAGACAGAGACTGACTCTTAGAATTCCCTTCTCAAATTCAAACCCTTTTTTCTCATTGAAGCACTATTGCACTTAGCATTCAGATACTACACTGTTAACAAGAATAACAGCAGGAATAAAAGAATCTCCATTTTAAGAGCTTTTTCGCTCTTAAAGCATTGGATAAGCACTGGAGGCTTTGGAGAAGCACGGGAGGCCATTTCTCCCGTTTAAAAGCTGAAGTGAGCATCTCTTACAGAGATGAAGCGAGCTCTGGACATAGCGAACCCCCAGCCTGCCGACTCGGCCTCACGTTCACATCCCCCCTTCAGTTGGCTTTTGTGGCCATTCCTGGAGACAGAATTTTCAGAATCCAACCTGTCCGTCAGTTGAAAGCAACTTCATCATCACTGGCTCCCCCTCCCCCTTCCTTTCAAATCGTGGGAACTTTTTGTTCAACCGCCGGTTAGAATCTGGAAGTAGTCAGCCTAAATCTAAAAAACCTGAGGCACAAAGAGAGCTTTAGCGCAGCACTGACTTTTCCATGAACTCACAAGGAGGAACAGTTAACTGTCAGTGATACGAGCGCACCTAAGTTAACTTCATCCCCGCTTTGTCTCCTGAAGGGAAAAACTTAAAGCTGTGTACAAAACATGGCTTTGTTTTGTTTTTCAGCAGAGAATGAAAAGGAAAATGAGATGCAAATATTTTTTTTTCTAGATAAGACTATTTTTTCCTCTCCATCTCCACTAATATTTATGGCGGGGTTAAAAGCTCAGGCTGTGGAGCCATATTTCCTCCTAAAGAAACAAAACAATATCTGAAGCTGATCTCATCCATCAGAAGATTCATTGGCAACGACAGACCGGTTCTGTCATTTGCTGGCTGGATAGCCTTGGGTGATGTACATAACCTCTCCAAGCCTCAGTTTCCTTCTCCATACAATGGAGAATATAAGAGTTTCTACCTCACCAGGTTGTGGGCAGAGAGAAGACTTGGAACATAGTAACTGCTCAGTGAATACTAACCAGTATGCGGAAGGCATTGGGCCGCGAGGGATAGCAGGATGGGTGAGACCCACCTCTGCCATCCATCCGACTAGGGGTCGGAAGGAACATGGATAGTTAATCATAGTACAAACTAGAACCGAGTGCTCTCTAAAGGGGTCACCATTAGAATCAGATTTCTCTGGGGAGAAAAAGACTTTCAGACAGACCTGCATTCGAGCTGGATCTTAAGGCAGAAACAGAATTTCAATAGAGGAAGGGGCTAGGGGACATGGACGCTGAGCCACAGAGCAAAGACGAAGAGATGAGAAAAAGCTCTCTGGGGATACACGGGCTGCAAAGCTCATCCACAGGGGTCGGGGAGCTGCAAAGGACGAAGGGTCATCTGCTAGGTTAAAAAACAAAGTTTCTCAATACAAAATGCTGGGAGTCAGGCTAGCATACCAAATGAAAGTGAAGGCAGTTAAGTCAAAACCCCAGAGGATCACATTTTAGGTAAGCAAACACAACCTAACAACAGACCATTTTAGAAGTCTTTCAAAGTGAAGACACACTTCTTTAGGGATTAAGAGTAATTAATGGAAAGTAAAAAAAAAAAAAAAAGTTCATCATAAAATCTAAGAAAACAGAGGTGAAATTGGTCACTGGGCTCAGCTTCCCAAAATATATTGCAACATCCTCCTCCCTAAACCCTATCCTCAAGAATTACATCTCATTTTTGTAATGCCAGGAAATAGTTGAACTGTTCTCCATCCAGGCTCTCATTCAAGGATTTTGAGGTTTTCAGGAATAGTGGAAGCAGCCGCGGTCATGAACCATAAAAAATCCCTTGATACAAGCATTTCAGAAACAGAGGTTATTTCCACCTGGTTCTCCCCAGCCACTGTTGCACGCATAATGATAACAGCAGCTCTCGGAAAACGGGAAGCAAGAATACGCGGCCGTCATTCCCACAGATGATCGGTTTCTACCTTTAGGAAGATTGTCCAAAGGTCGCAAGAGAATTATCTCAGGAATTCAGCCCCAGTTTGATGGTAGGATAAATGGGCGTCTAGAGAATTTGAAAGTGATAAGAGGCCCACACAGACGGTTCCTCCTTGCCCCCTCCCCCTCCCCGCCCCCCTGGGAACTTTATTCTACTCACCTGAATAGGTCTGGAACTCCGGAGAAAAGTTTGGGCTGGCTAAATTCGTTGAGCACTTAAAAATGCGGCAGACCTCACGCTAATGGCTTTGTTCAAGTAACCCTCAATTCATAATATTGTTCTCGTTTTGTTGATGAGGGCTCTGAAGTGCAAAAAAATTTTACTTAAGCTGCCCGGGGTCGCAGAGGCGAGCAAGCAGTGCAACCGGATGTAAACCCAGGGGGCTGACTCCGGGGCCCCCTCCGAGCTGCTGCGCTTGGCCACAATTCAGGAGTCATCTGCATACAAATGGTGATTGATAAGGAGACCGAATAATTTGTTTCCATCCGAAGTGGGACTTTTTTTGGTGGGGGGAGGGGTGCCCTTAAGAACTGCGCGGGGAGAACGGGGCAGGGGGTTCTGGTAAACCAGAACCGTGTAGGGCAAATTGAGAAGTGTGATCACCGTGTTGACGGATGCCGTGAGAGTGGACAGACTTACCGAGGGAAAGAAGGTTGAAGAGAAGAAGAAAGGAGACGATAAGTGGGTCCCGAGAGAGACCAACAGTTGGGGAATTGCCCGAGAAAGAGAAACTGACACAGGATCCTGGGGGAGGTGAGCCGGGAGACAAGGGTGTCAGTCTCGGGCAGTTATCCGAAGGGAGTCACCCTGGGGGGCCCTGGCCCCCTGAGGAGCTGGGAATGAGGCTGGGGTGATAAGGACCAGGAGGTGGCCATTGACAGGGTCGGTGGGGAAATCACTGGTCATTTACTGACCACCATTTCTCCCGGTTGGTGGAGTTGGAAGCAGCATTAAAGTAAGAGGAGGAGTGAGTGGGAGGTGAGGACCCAGCCACTGGCAGTGCTAACAACTCTTTTTGAAAGTGGCCTTGAAGGGGAAGCAAAAGATAGGACTGTCTGGAGGTGGAGTCAAAGAAGTTTCCTTTCTTTTCTAAAGCAAGAAACCAGAATGTGTTTAGTGCTTAAGGGAAGGGACCAGCCAAAGAAGAGGGGAGAAAAAGTAGAATGCATAATTATCCGCTCTCCAGGGGACATTCTGGAGCAGAGTTCCTGAGAAGGTGGAAGGGCGAGCCACCTGAGCTGAGGAACTACTTTTACACCTGAGGAGGTAAAGCTCTGCCCCTGTGGGAGGGAGGAGAACGGGAGTGTGGGCTGGAAGGTTCCATGGAGGGAACGGGGAGCGAGGTGCTGTCTGCAGGCTTGGGTTTTTTCCGGGGTCCCTGAGGGGAGAGGTGGTTGTGCCCAAGGTTTAGGGGTGCCCAAGGCAAGGCAGGCACCGTACTAGGCCCTTCAAAGACATTGACTTGATCTCTTTTCCTCTTCACTGTTGTTCAGTGAGGTAGGCGATCTTACTTATCCTCGTTTGACACCAGAGGAAATGGTGGCTCAGCACTGTGGGCAATCAGCCTAAGAGCTCACAGCTGTTTGGGGCCAGAGTCCCCATCTATCTTTGTTATCTACTGGAAGGGAAAGCCCACTCCCAGCCTTTCCATTATCTTGCAGTCTTCAGGGAGTAATGGGGAGGGAGTTAGCGGATGTCGTTTAAATAATGGTTTGAGACCAGAATGTGGAAGTTCGTCAAAGACTGTACAGGATTGAAATCCTATTTTTGTTTATAAGAACTGATTTGGGTTTTTTTTTAATTTTTTAAAGATTTTATTTATTATTTATTTGACAGGCAGAGATCACAAGTAGGCAGAGAGGCAGGCAGAGAGGAAGGGAAGCAGGCTCCCCGCCTAGCAGAGAGCCAGATGTGGGGCTCGATCCCAGGACCCTGGGATCATGACCTGAACCGAAGGCAGAGGCTTTAACCCACTCAGCCACCCAGTTTCAAATATTTTTTTTAACTTTAAATATTTAAAATATTAAAATATTAAAAATTTAAAATATTTTTAAACTTAAAAGAGATCCTTTCGTAAAACAAGAGCTGTTATTGGTGTTGCTTTTTAGTATATGTGCTGCCGAAGCGAGCACTTGGTGTTGCTTTTTAAGGTCTCTTTGAATAAAGGCTCCATAGTTTATCTTTCCTTTTTTTTTGGAGAGTTTACCCGCTATGAACCCCCACTCATTCGTAAAGGATGTTACCTGTGTTTCTTTATAAAGTCAATAGGAACATTTTCTGTTAATGTGCTCCCTTATGGATTTTTAATTTTTTTTTAAGATTTTATTTATTTATTTGTCAGAGAGAAAGAGCAAGTGAGCACAAGCAGGGAGAGCAGCAGGCAGAGGGAGAAGCAGGCTCCCCGCTGAGTTGGGAGCCCCTGTGGGACTGGATCCCAGGACCCTGGGATCATAACCTGAGCCAAAGGCAGACGCTTAACTGAGCCACCCAGGCGTCCCCACACTTACAGATTTTTAAACTTGGTAACTTTCAGACCCTTAAAGCATGTGAAATTCTTCTGTGGATATTTTATTGCGAAAGAACCACAGATTGAAGGTGGTGGCTCTGTAGGGATGTTGATGATACTGATTGAATACGTCTGCAGGGATTCCTGCCTCCACAAGGAAAACTTGTGGTTATGTGGAACCCACTTTGAAGTTTCAGATTTCCATTTACATCACGTGTGTTTGAGGTGTTAGACGTGGTGAGGACTCGCTGAATAGGCAAGTTAGAAATATGGGCCATATAGTAGGGTTGGGTGATACTGGGATGGGGTAGAGGAAACCTGACAGTAGTTAGTGGGGGAGGGGGATGAGTCAAATTTGCAGAATGACAACTGTCAGAGCCCCATATAGACCCAGGTGTTCTCTAACTTGTTGCTGAATTAATTAATTGGACTGCCCAGCTGAGAGCCCTCTTTTAGGGGTGAGGTTATTTGGAGTGGAGGGATTAGAATTGGACTTTCTCCTGGCTGATAAGTTGCAAATGATTTGCCATTATTTACCATAGCATCTCACAATACTTTGTGTTTTTTACTTTATGTGTTTTTTTAAATTTACTCCTAAAACCACTTTTTAAAAATAGTAGGCCTGCTGCCTCCTTTTTTGCATTCTATAGAAGAGTGTGTGTTAGCTGACTTGGCCCAGAGCAAAAGATGAATTTCTTGAGCAATCAGCAAACCTAAGGCCATTCGTTAAGCTTTCCCAAAGAGAAGTTTGAATTGTTTTTCTTCTTCGAAAACTTTTTATATGGCATGCAATTTAATTTTTGACAAGTTGAAAGCCTACTTAGAAAAAACTTAGCAGCTGCCAAGACATTAAGGTGAATTCCTGAAAAATTATTGCATTTGTACCATCTATTCCATTAAAATGTAAGGGAATCTTGGAAAGTTCAAAACATTGATTTGATTACCAAAAATGCAGTTAGAAGGAAGTGAACTATTTATATTCCCAGGATAATGTTGCCTTAAGACGGTTAGTTTTCTGCAAGAAACTTTTAAACTAGTTACAGGTACTTCCTACAACTACTCAAAACAACATCCTAATCGTTAGGGATTACCTCTGATTTAAGACTTCATTGCAGGGTCTCTAGGGCCGCTGACCTATTTCTGTGTCTGTCTTCCTGTAACTAAAGATCAGGAAGAAAAGAAAAAAAAATTAACCTAATTTCTACAACAGTTGATTAATGAGAAGCAAATGTTACATGTTTGGTTTGTGATAGTTATACAGCAATAGTCAGTGATTTATAAGTCGTGGCTTATGAAGCTATTAAAAAATTAATTACCCCCAAAGAAATCTAAGAAAAATGTTTGAAAGTCATTTATTATAGTAGTAGCCATTATTAATGTATGTTTCTGTCAGAGCTTTAGTCAAAGTCCAGATAGAACCCACGGAACTAGCTTAAAAATATGATTTCAGGAATCACCATGAAACTCTTTAAAAAAACAAAAAGGTGTTAATTTGAGGTTGGAATCGCAGATTGCTAGGCTCATGGACCCATCTCCCCCGCCCCCTTGACTCCTCCAGCAAGCTTCCCCTCTTCATTTGCATTCATCATCCCTTGTAGCTAGCACCTTCCATATTTGCCTCTTATGTGTCCCTTCCATTGCTGCTGCTCTTAAAAGAAGAGACTGCCTTTTCACACGTAGTCCTTCCACCTAGTACAGTATCGGGTTCGCAATGATCTTTATTGAATGAGTGAATGAATGAATGAGTGAGTCACTCTTATCTATAAAATCGCTACCCAAACTAATGAGTTGAGCAAATTTGAAGCGAAGAAAGAAGCCTAGGCTCAAAAGACCAGTAAACTGTTTTCAAATCCTTTTTTTGTTTCAGTTTTTTGGAAATGAAAAGAGCTCTGAAAATGAAACTTACCAACCTTTGTTTTTAGAGTTAGCTCTGATTTATTCTTCATTCACCAACACCCCACACAAAGTCACTTTGGTTTGGTTTTGTTTTTTTAATGCTATTTTTTTTTTTTTAAGATTTTATTTATTTGTCAGAGAGAGAGAGAGAGGGCGCGCGTGCGAGCGAGCACAGGCCGACAGAGTGGCAGAGAGAGGCAGAGAGAGACAGAGAGAGAAGCAGGCTCCCTGCCAAGCACGGAGCTTGATGTGGGACCCTGGGATCATGACCTGAGTGGAAGGCAACCGCTTAACCAACTGAGCCACCCAGGCGTCCCTTGCTGGGTTTTGTTAGGTAGTGCTTGATACCTTTTTTAAGCCATTCTTTCCCAGGGTTATAGTCCTGGGGTTGTCTGTTTGTTAATCCTGTTACAGTCAGTGGTGCTCTTTATCAAGAATTTCATGAATTTCCTTTTAAGTATAACTTCTAACTAGAGTGCTCTTTCCAGTCATTTCCTCCTCCCTTCTTTTCCACAGTCTGTTCTGCTTCCCTGTGCCACCGCAGAAGAACAATGAGAAATTCCTAGGGAGACCTTTTTGCCCAGTTTTGACTCCGAGCTCTTAGCGCATTATCTGGGTAGGTTAAGTTCCCTGGTGGGGACACAGGACAGCCAGGATTCCTCACACACTCAGAAGGCCTAGGAGTCTGCAGATGTGTTTTGGTTATTCTAAAATCCAGGTCACTTACTTTTGACATGTCTCTTGGTAGAGATTAAGGTAGGGGATGAACTATGTATACTGTCACTCATAGTCCCCTCCCCCCACCTCTCCTGTGCGCATAAACCACCTCTCCTGGGCAGGCAGAGGAAATGGTTGCCTGCCTGTGCCTTAAAGACACACCAAAGCACTCTTATGTCTTGTCTTCAAACACCTCCCTAACAGGAGCCAAGATTTTCCATTCAGACCAGCCTACTTGGCATTCTGCTATAAAGGAGCACTCCCAACAGAGACAGACTTCGGTGTTGATGGTTTTAAATTTTAGCTCCATTGCATCGATGTCCTTCCCTATAGATTGGAAATGATAAAAATTATCTCATAAATAGGATTACATTTGTAAAGCAGCTGGCCTCC